ACGCTTAAAGGAAATACATTTTTGCATAAATAAAAAAAACCTAATAACGGTTATAAAAAAAATTGATTGTGGTCAAACAAACCCCTATCACTCGCACAGCATGGTGAGGTCATCCTCCAGCAGTGGATTTACGAAATGGTGGTATGTGTGCAATTATATCTGGATGGAAACGTAGGCGGTGAATGAAACTGCAACCCTTTTGCATTTTTGTTTTGTTTTAAAGACTCCGTTGTTTCAGGCCCGCGCTTGGTAAACACTCCGGATGAAATGTTACCACGTCAGGTTTGGTGTACGGCTGTACCAGGAGCCAAGCAGCCCCCCTCATTGGAAGTTCCTCTGGGTTCCTGCCAAACTCCGCTACGATCTGGCACCCCGGCGGCACGCGCTCCGCAGTCTTGACACATTCTCGGTAGCGGATCAGTGAACGGCGGATCGCGCAGTTGCTGCTACGCTGTTGCTTTCGTTACTATTCGGCCGAGCGCCGGGACTCTCGCGGTGCTCAGTTTGTGCGGTTATTAAACTCGTATCGATTTAGTTTTCTTCCACCGCCGCACGTTGATAGCTCTCGCCCACTTCTCAGCTGTTCCCCGGAGATAGTGCACGCCGCTTGCAACGGGGACGGCTGATGGGGCCCTCCCCCCGCCTCTCGCCGTGGCACGATGGATCGTAACTCCCACGTTCACCGAAAAATACGACGTGGATCTCGGCCGCTGCCGTAGCCGGTGGGTTAGCCAGGCGGGCTGGCTGACACACACGTGACGTGGCTCGCTCGCCCAGGCTGCTTAGAAATGTGTGGAGCTCTGAGCTGCGTGTTTGGATAACCCAGAAGATAACTGGAGGCAAAACTCATCACAGTTTGTCAATGTCAGCCTGTTGCTTAGTAGAGATGCATGCGGTGACACGTATTCCAGGGGTGTCATTGTAGTGGGTAGACTCTTCACTTTGTGTGTGTTGTGTATTTCTTGCAAACACAGTGCTATTATGATCTGTGGTTGCTTTACTTTCACTTTTTTATTTTCAATTGTGCTGTTGGCATCATGGCTTGGGATGAAGAAGCAGTTTGGATATCTCACAGCAGTGGGCCTATATGTTAGAGAATGGCTACAGAAGAGATTCTTATCCTCCAAATGACATGCAAAACCAGATTTTAATGTTCTGGCAGTTTTTTTGTGTACAGTAATTGGTGACTTAATTGAGACCATCAACTCATGGCCCGGATGTGAACCCATGTCTTGGAGGTACTGGCTCAACGCTCTGAGTGCTGAGCCACCAAGCCACCTCGTGATCTGTAGACACTTTAAAACGATAAAGGTATGGGTTAGCTTGCAATTCTGATAGGAAAACTACCACAATACAGTATTCTTTTTATTTTTCTATCGAAGGATCCTACAAAAACCAGACCACGGCATTAGTTGAATGTCAAAAATGTGGATTTGGCTGCGAGTATGCGAAAGCAGACTATATAAGGTATTTATGTAATGGCTATGCATCATCTCGCGGTGTGGTCCCACTGACCGCTCTCTGACATTCATGGGTTTCACAATGAAGGCCCTCTTCTTAGCTGCCTGGACGTGAGATCATGGACGGGTGGAGGTGAGGGGTTCCAGAGGCGACTCGTCACCTTGCCTCCTGACCTGCACGGGGCTAGGGCCTGTGACAGGTAAATCCTGTTCGGATTATCTCTGGCTCCAGTTCTGTGGCGTAATCCAGCACAAGAGACAGCTGTCCGTCCGACTTTCACTCATTTGGCCGTTTGTGTGCGCACTCGTGGGGGTTTCCCCCCCCCCCCTCGTCGTCCAAAGAATCCCCCATAGGTGCACTTGAGAAAGATGGCTCTCTCGTCTCTTGTCCATGCGGTCAGCGACTTAAAGTGAATTCTCAAGAGCTTCTCCATTTCTCTTTCTTTAATTATTTTCTTTAAAAGCCACCCTCCCTCACCCCGATACCACGCTAACCATTTGTTATTGTCACGTCCAGAGGTGTTCCCCCGATGCTTTCCAGTAAGTAAGAAACGCACGAGCGAGGCCGCGTCATTACCCTTGCCATTCACGTCGGCAGTGATAGCGTTGAAGCGAGCGTAGGGCCGAGCGAGGTGGCTGCGTGTCGTGTTGTCGGCCCCCGTAGCAGGGCGAGGTGTACGGCGGCTGCAGCATGACCCGTGCCTTGCTAGCGCTGTCTGCTAGTGGTGCGCTTGTGCTCCAGGGCCACCTTCTCCGTCTTGCTGCTCGACAGCTGTGTGTGCTCGAGTGTGCTTCAGGAGTCAAAGTGTCCTCGCCCAGTCGCGTCTCGCGTCAGAGCTCATCTCCATTTAAGGCTCAGTGGCCGCTTGCATCAAATACCTTTCGTGGTTTTTCCCTGTCTTAACTTAAACTGATTTAAATGGCAAATAAGTAAAATTCAGCTTTCGGCATTTATGAAACTGGTTTGTATGCATGTACGTATGCACTTAGAACTTGTTTTGCATGGCACATAGCCAACTGTGCTAATCGGAGGTGAGGCTTGCCAAACCTTTTGTGAAAATTCCACATTCTTCTGGCAGGGCACAGTTTTTGCCATATAATAGACAATGTAGACTTCCTTCAAAGTGTTACTCGATTTATTGACCCTGAAAGGATAATCGGCTGAGTTAACCCTGCAGATGATCGAATTAAAAAACATCGTAGCACAAAGTTATTTGCCCTCGGGATTAAGAGTAACTTCAGACGTCGTGACAACATTTCTACGCTCATTCTCACTCTCATTCCCACGTGGTAATGTCATTTACGTGGAGAATTTCATTACAGTTTTGTTTGGCGCACACAGTGCCACAGAGTGCAGTGCAAGAACACAAGACACTGCAATGCCAAAAGACACAATGCCCTATAAGGTAATTTAATTGCTGGCTCAAAGGCATTAGGGACCAGCTTGTCTGTTTGTGAGGTCCCACGGTTGTGAAGGGGAGCCGGGGGAACGGGGGGCAGGGAGGGCAATGTGTGAAATCCGCCCTGGGGATTCTATAGAAGGTTGTGTTGCAGTTGTTGGGGATTAGTGGAGGGGAGACGTGCCTACACGATGCAGGGGCACTCGTGTTTGGGGCATCGGGTGTGCGGTGGACAACACGGTGGGGGGCGCGCTAGGTGGGGAATGGAACTGAAGTGTGGACGTGCAGGGGCCGGAAGGGGATTGAAGGATGCGGGTGGGATATGGCACGCTGAGCGACATGGGCAGTATGTTGTGAAAACTTGTGAACTCAAGATGACTATGTTGGGAGGCTACGGGGCAGAGAGAGCGTTGGAGAGAGGCGGCTCTGAGCGTGGCACAGAGACACGGTGTGAGCGCGTGTGTGGGTAGGAACTGTAATGGGCATATGTGGTGGTGGGGGGCGCAGTGGGGAGGAGCAGTGGTGGGGGGGGGCAGTGGTGGGGGGGAGCAGTACATTTGAATTGCGGCTGTTTTGGTTTGGACTGTGACACCGTTTAATCTTGAGCGCTGAAGCCGAACACCTGTGTGTGACCTTGAGGTCCCTGATCCCAAGGCTGATCCCCACCCAGCGAGCGCTTCATGCCTGGATTACGTCCCCTTCCGTGGCGAACCGCTCGCCGCGCTGAGCCGCAGAGGTGTGGCGTGACCCCAACGCGGCTCTCGCTCTCCGTTCACGCTTCCCTGTTGTCTCCCCTTCTCGTTGAAGCTTCCCAGCGAAGGTTGAAATGCGTTGGCGTTGCCCGTCTCTGTAACTCTCACGAGGATGATTACATAGAAATTGAATGTTTGTGTCGAGTTGTGCAAGGGACAACTTGCCAAATTTATCAAAGTGAGGCTAGAATCTTTGGTGATAAGCGATAATAGATAAGGCTTTACCAATGAAGGCGATGATGTCACATTCTTCCCGACGATGTCACACGTTGTATGCCTCTTGACGTCATCTTGTTGCGTGACTTGGAAGGTATTGTTATCGTCACTAATACATGTCGGGACAAACGCACGTGGGAAGGCATCACAAGTCCTGTTGGTGATGCAGGATTCATCTTCCTCGTTCGGTACACCTTCGACTGTTTTGGGATTTTCTGAATATCATTGATGATTTTTACTGCACCTGGGGCACTTCGTGTTGAAGATTGCAACTGTTTGAATCTGACCAAAGGAAAATCACGATATATCAATGGAGCATATAAGGTAGTCACTAATACTGAGTAATCTGTTGAAGACAAAAGTAAATTCAAAGCTGCAGATCAAATTGTTTATATGACAATGGATAAGCCAAAGTATGTATGTTGAACTTCTTTTACACCGTACGTAGCCAACCATAATAATCGAAGGTGAGGGGGAAGGACAACCAACTAAACACAAAAATCAGTTGTAAAGAAATTAGTTTTCAATCTAGATGATTTAAAGTTGCATAGCTCCATTGGCCTCCAAATATCAGAAGGAAGAGCGTTCCAGACGGCCGCAGAACCGCATCTGAAAGTGCAGCGATCCAGTGACCATCTTTGTTCGATGCAGTACATATGTCACATGTCATGCTGTTTAGAAACGTACCTTGTCTCATGTCCTCATGAATGAATTTGCCAAGAGAGTGAGAGACCGGCTCGCAGAGCAAGACGTGGCTTAGCAGCCTCGACCAGGGGGTGGAGTGCCATCAGCGCAGTGGCCGTAGTGGAACGCTACGCAATGAATCAATCGCCCCACAGCGATTCTGTGAATTGTCACGTGAATTGGTTGTCCTATTTGTACCATCTCGTGTTGAATGTTGAGGATGCACGTACTGTGGTTGTGTGTTCAGGTTGTACATATTGAGGCTTTGTACGTTGAAGCACCGTGTTGAGCCTGGAGGCTGTGAAGTGTGGCTGTGCGGCTGTGTTTGTTGAGATCATGTTGAGGCCTTGTGCATTAAGGCTGTGTTGAGGCTACTTGTGTTGAGGCCTCCTGTGCTGAGGCCTCCTGTGCTGAGGCTGCCTGCCTGTGTTGGTTCTGGGACGGCACGCGTTAAGTCCGTGCGTTGCCTGGCGCGGTGCGGCGAGCAGGAGAGCTGTCTGAGGCAAGGGCCCTGCGGAAACGGCAGCAGCTGGAGAACCTCGTGGGCTGCGTTCGCTCCCTGGCCCAGCCGGCACACGTCATCGTCGACTTCTGCAGCGGAGGGGTGAGCCGGGAGCCCCGAGGAGGCCACTGAATGGAATTATGTTATTCAGTGATTACTATTAAATCATTATTACTTATTATAATAATAACAACATATATCTTCGCCCTCTGATGTGTTTTCGGGTAGTGCCGTGTATTGTTCAGTATGATGTCTGATGCTTCATTCATCGTGTTGGAAGCTTCTTCAGGAACTGAACCGATTTCTATTCCTGACACAGCACGGCGGGTTCCAGCAGACAGCCCCGATGAAACCCCGGGACCTCCCTTTTATGCCCCCCCCCTCCCCCAGCGTGGCCTGGCTCCGCCCTCGGCCACGCCCTCTTCTGGAACTCACCAGAAGATTCTGGGCCCTACACCACGTGTCCCTTCTGTCACCTTTGGCCCACATCCTTACCCTGTCCCGTCACGTGCCCTTGCCAGCCAATCGGGCTGCTACGTCCTCAGATGCCCCTTCTCTGCCAGCCACCAGAACCATGCCCCCTAGGGACCTCTTCCATGACATCGTGCGCTCTGCTGGCAGAGAGGGCTACTAGACACGCAACTCCTCTCTCTCTGTCGGCAGATGGCGCGAGGCGCCGTAGTGACCCATTATATGTCACTACACTTGTGATAAACATTTCCAAAAATAACAATGTATAACTGTTTTTAGATGATTAATTTAGGCTTATGGGTAAATCCACGAGTTATTAAGTTACGACAACATCTCAGGTGCGCCGGTCATCCGCAAATTGGATAAACCGCGCGGATAATCTAGAGTCGACTGCATTGTGATATTAACTGAATGCATCTTTTCCTCCATACCTGGAAAAGCAATTCATAAGAACCTAGATTTGAAGCTTTCGTGACTGCAAGGATTCATTCTCTTAGGTTTTTTCGGTAAAGTCACGTAGGTAAAAATAAAAAAAATATAAATAATAATAGTAGAAATAAAATTATTTTGTTTTTACTATTATTTCTATTATTTTTATTATTTTGTATTTTTACCTACATGACTTTACCGAAAAAACCTAAGAGTATGTCATAAGAACCTCTTCAAGCCTCTCCCCCCTAATCTGAGCGTGGTCTCGTCGCGTGTTTTCTTGTTTCACCGCCACTGTGCGTGGCTTCACAGGGCCACCTTGGGATCGTACTGGCCTACCTGCTGCCCCAGTGCCAAGTAAGTCACGTCGCTGCGCGTATGGTGTTTCACTCAAGTTATTTTTTCTGTTTACTATGATCATGTGCTTAGTTCTCTTGCCTCTGTTTTACAAAACACTCCTTAAAATGGAATTAGCCACAAACATTCCGATGTCGGACCCGCATGAAAAAAAAGAGTTATTGAGACTTGGTGAGGCTTTCTGAGATAAATGACATGATTATTGTTATTACAAAGCAAGAGACTTTTGAGACAATAGTTTTGCTTTGCAATTGAAACTTGGAGTAAACTTAAACGATTCAAAAGAGAAATGTCAACAATTTGCACAAACTGTGAAAAACAAGAACAAAGCTTGCAAAAATAAACATTACAGAAGCAAACACATTACTCAAACTGAATATTAACTTTAAACCAAAATGTTAAATTTAATTTACAACAAAGTCTCTGTGTTAGAAAAAGATGTATGTCCTGTATATACTTGTTTAATGAACAAAGTCTTGATGCTATTCTCTCGGTTGTAAAAGTGCATTTAAACGCACTTTAAAATCTAGATTGAAAACTCATTTGTCTAAAACAGCTTTGTGTTTAGTTTGTTGTCCTTCCCCCGCGTAAGGGGAGAAGGAAGTTCAACATACACACACCGCAACTCCGATTAGCGCGCTTGGCTACATACAGTGCGAAAGAAGTCCAACATGCGCACGTACGTACGTGCACACGTACACACGTACGCACGCGCAGGTTGTGCTGGTGGAGAATAAGGAGCAGTCGCTGGAGAGGGCCCGGTCTCGGTGCCGGGGCCTGGGCCTCAGCAACGTGTCGCTCTACCAGTGCAATCTCGACTACTACCAGGGCACCTTTGACATCGGGGTGAGCATCACACAAGGGACACAACTGGTCTACATTCATTCGTTTTTGTGCAAGTTTAACGATGTGTAAAAGTGTAACATCGGTTTAAAAATGTAGAGATGCAGTGATTTTTCACGTCACTGCTGGCAGAAGGGCCTCCACTTGGAAGATTTCTAGAGAATCCCTCTCGAGGGTATTTGGCCTTCTCTTCCACGGTAGCCAGATGTCTTGGAAGAGGTGAGTGTGACCACGCGTTGCCAATCGACAAACTGTGGTGTCGACATCCATGCTGCTGGGTGGGAGGATTCTAGAAACATGCTCCAAGGCCATTGGTTCCCCGTGATCCCCTTTCCCTCGCCCCAAAAGCTCAACGAAGGCCACACGACGGAACGGTCACACGTGCACACCGCTAGTGAGCGCCCTGTTATTTGTCGCACGGCCGCATCACCGCTCCGCCCCTCGCCCCCCCCCGCAGGTCGCGCTGCACGCGTGCGGAGTGGCGACGGACATGGTGCTGGAGCGGTGCGTGCGGGCGCGCGCTGCCTTCGTCGTCAGCCCCTGCTGCTACGGCTTCATCCAGAACACGGACAAAGTGTCCTTCCCCAAGAGGCGAGCGACACCCGCGTGCGAGCGGCGGTGACTTTGCCCTCCGGTGTGCACGCCGGGGGGCACAGGTGGTGCATCCGCCGGTCATCTCGGTCGGTTAACCCAGAACACCTGGGTCTGTCTGTCCCGTGACCTCCTGCCACGAAGCCTTCCATACTTCACGTGGAGTTGCCTCAAAGTGCACCTAGCCTGGCGCAGGCACTGTGGCGACGTCGCCGCGACTTAGTGGCGAATGGTGGCTGTTGTGCTGTGCCTGGCAGGCTGGGGCCTACGCTGGGGCCTACGCTGGGGCTGTGGTTGGGCCACTGAACTGTGAATTTTGATCCCACGAGCCGAGTTTGATTCCGGCCACGGCTAACATCGGTGCCATTTGCCGGAACCAGGCTGAAGCCTCCCCTACGTGGACCCAGCCGTTCATAATTGGAATATAAACCTCTACAACATCCAGTGAAAATCCTGAAGTGGAAAATAGTTTTGACTGAATTTAAATGATCCAAAAAGCAATGTGGAATATATATTTATTTATCGGTTATTTTGCAGGTTAGGCTGCTTTGTGCTTTTCTCAATGTGTTCATAGCACACGAATGATAATATTACGTTTATGTGCTAAGGGTGATATATCGTTACTTAGATTATCCCAATAAATTACGACACCAACCTCAAAATTATTATTTCTTCAGTGAAATGTACGGTTGTGTTGACAAATCACGTGCCTTGTCTCTCTTCAGTGTAATCTTTGTTAACCTCCACGCCATGAGCCAAATGTTCCCGAGTGTGAATTACATCACCACATGTGGCTGAAGTCTGATTTTTCCTTTGTGCTGTGATTTATGACCCTTTCAGCCAGATGTTTCACGAGGTGTTATCCTATCGGGTAAGTGTGACTTTACACGACTAGGTAGGTTCTGCATTCCCATGCGAGGAATTCCCACTTTCTACAACGTCTTCACTGTGTACCTATCATCGCGTAACGCAACACCATTACATTTGTAGGGAAGCATGTAAACTGCACCTCCTGGAAGAGTTATTTACAAACCTTTAACATTCATCGATACACACAACGTGTCGTTGAAATGATATATACTGTTGGTCTGCCACTGGATGTAGACCTCTCCCTCTGTGCGCCGTATTCATGATGGAGGTTGGGAATTAAATTCCGGTCGCTGGATTTTCTTGTGCACTGAATGAACCACGATTGCCACCACTCTCCCGTACCCAGAGCTTTAGTGGGTTCTGTTTTAAGGCTCATATATCTTGGTTATAAAACAAAACAGTGTTTCTAAAAACATTTTTCAGTAAAGACTTTTAAAAAATACACACAATGCTGCTTTAGTTTGTAGGATGGGGTAAGAGTTTAGACAAAAATGTTGGGCAGCCCACCCAGAAGGACCTACAGCACCAGGAGTGATTTTATGTATTTGGCTGCATATTCCATCATTTTGTCATTATTTTATGTTGGCTGTAAAATTAATGCACCTATTTACGAGCAATATGCTCTGGACCATGTATCCCTGCCTGCATACAACAGCGGGCATTGTGGGTGAGGTTTGAACCATCAGAGTGCAGTTTGTGTTTAATAAGAGGCAGTGAACAACACTAAGGGTCATCTGGCTGCATTGCAAGCTTGAAAGAAAATCCATCAGTGTATTCTTTACGGTAATCTATGTGAATCTGGGGCACATGTTTGCTATAGATTTACACATCTTAAACCATACAGGAATTGGATTGGCCTTCATGAGCATGGCGACCAAGGGAAAGACCTGAGAGAAGCCAGTGGGACACTGTCAGGCCAGATCTTGGAGGCCACTTGGGGCACCACGGTAGCTAGGAGATGTTGACTACCTCGCCTGGTGTACAGCAGGTCGTGGGCTCGATCCCGACCCTGACCCCTGCTGCTGTATGTTTTGAGTTTGCGTGCTCTCCCCGTGCTCATGTGGATTTTCCTCCAGGTTCTCCGGGTTTTCCCCTCCACATTTAGAATCAACGTGCGTTTAGAGTATTTGGCTGCTGTACATTTCCATATGATTAGCCACTTCGTTGAGCTATCATTTGTGGCCAGGTCGTTTCTGAAAAGGAGCTATGTCGCTCAGTTGGTAGCAAGCGTTGGTGAGGTATTGTAGCATCGTGCTGCCTTTGGCCCTGATGGCATCTTGGTCTTGAAACCAGGTGTACACTGGCAGCACAGGCCTCGTGTTTGAGAGTTTTGGACACCTCATTGCTATTTTTAGTTACCCTACGTTTTTGGAAACTTCAAACACTGATGGATAATATTTCAGAGGATCGTCATCTCAAGTGAGTGATACATTAGTTAACATGTGAGTTGTATCGGTGCATATGCAGCGTCCATACGGCCTTCAGAAATCACTGAATTTCAACACGATCTTGTAAAGAATAATTCATATTTGACTTTAGATGTTAACATTTCCCACAAATTTAATTATTCTTGTTTTTTTTTAATCCTCGGACACAGCCTCAAAGAAAACTATTTAAACATGTGAATATATATTTTGCACCACTTAATTTTATTTACTGTTGATGTGTACAGCATACAGTAGGCATACATGACATGTTCGTGACATAGTTAAGATGTTTTACAAATATAGCAGTTGAGGCAGTAACATGGCTTATCTGCAATGCGTTGGTTGCTTGTTGCAGAGATTCAAGGTTCGGTTTCAGTGGCCGTCCTGGTTATTGTGGGTGTCTCAACAGTGGACCTTACAGGACCCTGTGGCGTCTTTTGCAAGAGTTGGCCATTGTGTGTGGGGTGTCTGTGTCAAAATTGACCAAATTAGAAAATTACCCACGAATGAATCGGTTGGGATTGTACAAAGCGGATGTTGCCCTCGCCTTGCAGACCACAGAACTTGGGCAATTGTTGGTGCCAGTTGTGGATTCCCTTCCCACTCGTCTGTGGGTTCCTACCGCTTTCCTTTTGAAAACCGAATGCGTTACAAATCTTACGGCGTTGCGATATGCAAATTGGATGAATGACGTCGCTATGCAAAATAACGCATTGCATTACTCACATCCTTACGACTACATTGATAATTTGTGCAACAAAACAGGACAGTGGTCGGGTTCAGACGGGTGAATCGTTCCACCCCTGCCATACAGAAGAAGAACAAGCAACCCGCGTATCTCCAGAAGCTAGCCGGCTACGCCTGATTGCGGCGACGGCCGGTTTGTTCGTCACGGCGTGGCGGTGCCTCCATGCCTGCTTGTTTATGTTCGTGCTCCCCGCGACTGCCGTTGTGTGTCTGTGCGTGCGCGCAGGAGCACATGGTCTTGTGCAGGTTCGCCGACCAGACCGCACAGCACCTCTCCGCTGACAGACGCAGCACAGGTGAGGAGGACGGATGGGGGGCGGGGTGGGGAGGGGCCGTGTAGGACCCCATCAGAAACGGAATGGCGGCCAGCTTGGGGTTGTTGATCAAGAGGCCCCTCGCGAGCACCTTGGGATTAGCACGTCCCCTCGACGCAAGGCACGCTGCGGCACGGACTCACTCTCCCGAGTCAGCATTTTGAACATTTTGCCGTTACCAGTTTTGTGCGCCGACCGCTTTGCTGTGAACAGTGTCACCCTCAGGCGTCACGTCTCACATTCCTGTCATCGCACTCCCACTAGCCGCCTTCCCATGCACAGTGTCCCCATGCACAGTGTCCCCATGCACAGTGTCCCCATGCACAGTGTCCCCATGCTTACCAATGTTTCCAATCACGTGGATAATATCTGCGTATCGGTGTTTTGCGCGCGTGTGTTCATTTATAGTACGGGTTAATCTGAATCATTGGAGATGCTGTGTATGGGATGGTAGTCGTAAAAAACTTTATCATCATTGTCTCTGCACTAGCTAATCTCATGTGGACTTGAATCAACAAATCCCCAAAGCTCAGTACAGATTGTCCCAACGAGCACACAGATATAGACAACATACCATTGTCATCATTGCACACTCTTTTAGAAACGTCAACCATCATGTCAGCACACCGTAGCTTACCCTCACAATGAAAATTCAATACGAGGTCAACTGTCCTCTCTGTTAACAATCCTACTTGGCCTTGAGCCCGGCTACCCCTCTCCCCTTTCTTCTTGCTCTCTTGCCCCACTTGTACCTTGCACTGCAGCAGCAGCAGCAGTAGCAGCCAAGACCTCCTGGTGAAACCTCTCTGTAACTCTCTGCTCAGGAGGCGATTGCTCTTCCTCTGCTGCCCATCCTGTTTTTATCTCCCACCTCTGACTCGATTCCCCCCTTTTTTTTGTTAGTCTGAGCTCAAATCTTTATCTTTATCTTGTAGAAATCTGAGTACTGAGACGTATCGCCGGTAATTACAACCAGCTTCATCAGGCGATTTTGCCAGAAATGTTACGTGCCAAAATCTGCCTGATGAAGCTGGTTGAGATTACGTCGCACTCAAATTGTTAATGTTGTGGGATTACTCTCCAACACTGGTGTAAAGAAATAGTAACTAATTGGCATTTTTTTTCGTGATAAACTTTATTAATTGGCTGTGTCAGGTGGTGGGCTCACAACACATTTATATTTACGTGATGTAACCCAAAAAAAATTCATTATAAATAATGTTGGTCGCGAAAGCTACGTGATAAATCATCCTTTGGCGTCCTACTTCTCACGCGGCATGAAATTATGCATTGGTTCTAATCGGTTCTCACGCTCGTAGGCTCACAAAGAATCAACTCTTGAATTGAATCCTGGGACCAAATCGTGGGACCAAATCGTGAAAATTTATGCAACCGCTGACTGAGTAATCGTTGGATGCCTATTTGGTGACACTGCCTTAGAAGTGGTGCACTCCCCATACCACGTCTTCCCTTTCTTGCCAACTCTCTATACCGGATCTCTGTATGCGCTCAAATATGGACGGGTAAATAAACGTTTTCTTTTGTGTTTACATCAAAATCTTTTTTTTTTTTACCGGAATATATTTTTCAGGGAAGGCGTGCATGACGTTGGTCGACCAAGACAGGGCCGCAGCAGCCGCCGAGAGCGGATTCCACGCGCACGTCCACTCCATGACTCCAGGAGACGTGCTCTCCCAAGAACAGCATCCTGGTGGGGGTCCCGGACACGCGCTTCCTGGCGGACACGACTACCTCCCCCCGCTGCTCCTCTCACACCGGTGTTTGCTGCCAACAAGCTCAGCGCTAGGCCCCCGAGCGTCCAGGGGCAGAGACGCAGGACGGGTGGAAGAGTGGGGCCAGGCTCGACGTGTAAACAGAGCTGAGCTCTTCTTGTGCACAGTTGTGGAATTTAAGCTGACAAAAAATGCACACGTACGGGTTTTTAATTGGAACCGTGCGTGTGATGCGGCGCAAGTTGGTCACGGCCTCCTGGGACTTTTATTTTTGAGTCTGAATTCCAAGAAGTGGTTACAGATTTTACCCTGATTAATTGAACAGTTATTTTTTCAAATTCCTATTAGTTTGTTTGGATAGAAACATATCTTGTTTATATTACTTATGTTTGTAGTTGTCACTTATTTTACTGTCATTTAAACTAACTGTTAAGTAAATGCCTGCGATGAATATACATGCATTCAAGCAAAATATTGACTTGGTTTCATTTATTTTACACTGGCTTCAACGGGACATGTTTTGCAGCACCTGTTGAGCTGATAACAAACGAACTTGATGAGGGACTTCATGTCTGCCAATCTGCTCATATCAGGGTTGATGTTGACCCAACAGTAGGAAGACGACAGCATATATTGCCACATCCACAGTCACTTTTTCATTATCATTTTATTATAGATGATAGGTAATTGTAATTGTTCAAATGATAATATGAGCATGAAACTTGGCATGTGTGTTTCACTGGGTAATTTTTCAACAAATATATACACAGCCTCTTGAAATTCCAAAAAGGCCGCTAATGTTCCATATACTGTAATATCCTGTTTTGACCCGGACATCGATTGGATTCTCCCAACTCATACGGACCACGGGTTGCACGCATCACATTGCATATCAGGCAGGTGACGTGGAGGCAGAGAACTATCAGCCTGACACCCAAAGTCCTGTTGATGTGGGGTGGACCAAACAAGGTTTCATCGTACCTAGACCACTATTCCATCTATTGCGAGAAATTTCCAACAAGTGACAAAATGCGTCTGCAAGACAGAATGTTGTCGACGCTGAAAATGCCACCACTGCAGTCGCAGTTGTTACACAGCGGCATGCTGCTGTGAGTGCTGGGCTGCGTATTGAATCTCACGAACCTCATCTGATGTGCAGACGCCAGTTGTGTTGGATAGAAAATAATAATAGGTGGTGAATTTAATGTAACTGGTGAATGTATCTTATAACGAAGTCTGTCTAGCTGATGCTGGACTGAAAAGATTTGGTGGCACGAACATCCTGATGAGACGTGAAAGGTACATTTGAGGAATTTATTTCGGCGTAATTAGTTTAACAAAATACAATGATCCCCCCCCGTATAGCCTGTAACCGACTGTTGGGGCAAGTGATGTTCGCGAGCACCTATGAAGGCCGGCAAAGCACACGAGGGGGCGGGTGGTCAACACAACGCCCGGCCGCCTTTGTCTCCATCATGGCGATGTTTACACATTGCACCGGGTACTCATTTGAGGCTGAGTCGACCTAGGGGAGGCCCAGGACCGGCTTCAGATAATCGTCACTGGTGTTCTAGCATGGCCACAGACACAAACATAGATGGTTACTCAAATTGAACAACTGTCAATTTCAGTATCGAACGTGGCTATTTGTGTCAAAAATATGACACCTGTCTTGAAAAATAGCAGCCATCCTGGATTTTTCAGGCAGCTTCCGTTGTGTTGACTGGCCCAATGCAAACGTACATCTATCGACATGTTCACGCTCGTCTCATTTGAACAGAGTCGTAATCCCCTGTTAGCCACTCCGCTCCTTACCACTCAGACATGCGTCGGGTTTGATGCGGCTAAGAAGACATGTCTGGCAACGCCAATGAAGGTGTACATTGTTAATGTAGAGCGGCGGTGGCTTCTGTGATGCTAAACTAGACAGGGTGGGATCGAGGCGCATTGGGGGGGGGGGGTGTTTGTTAAATACACTTGAGCAGAGGAAATGTTGACTCGGGTCACCCTCATGTCCCTTGTCCCTGCGTCCACTTACACCACCGCCACTTCTTCCCATCACCAGGAGCTCTCATCTCGCCTCATCTCCCCCTCCTTCATCTCCTTTTAGCGGCAGCATAGTTTAGACTCCATAAGTAAACAGATGCAGGAGCAATTATTCCTTCGCTGCCGTAAATCCTTCACACGGTGATGGGTGGGGGGTGGGTGGGGGGGTGCTGTCCAGACCTGACTGGCTTTTGTGTCACAATAAAATATTTTTGAGAACCATTGTTGGAACCCGTTGCTTTGGAAGGGAAACTGAGAGAAGCTTCGCTACGGCGTTGTTGAAGGATTGGCGGCCTGCGTTTGCGTTTGTTTTGAAGTTTGTTGCACGTGTTGGTGTCGGGCAACCTGCAGGAGGTTTTGTTTTTCGTCGAGAGAATGCAGCCAACGGAACGCAGAGAGAGGCTTCTGGGCCACGGGGGCTCTCGCCTCGCGCTGTGCCACAGGTGAGCTCGTCGGTAAGCCGCGATGTCACGGACGATTCGTCAATTCCCCCAGTGATTGGGTTCAGTGCCGGATTATATCCTCGTAGCACAAGTCGCTACACATGCTGCTACGGGCCCCGCACTTTCAAATGCCCCGCGCTAAATCCTTTGAAGCTATCAATTCCGGTTCAGTGATTCTGCACTTGCTCTATTACTATAGTACTATACTGCCTTCAACTTTTACGAACGTCTGGTTGTTTAAGGTGAGCGATTTGTTGTATTATCTGGCTGTATAGCAAATGTAAAAATACAACTACTTTACTATGCAAGTAAACAATTGGTGTTTTAATATTTATGTGTGTTTTTTATGTATGGCCCCTTAATAACATCATGATCGAGGCCCCGCACTAGCTTAGTCCGGCACTGCCGGGGTTTATAAACGCAGCCCGCAACATGGACCGGTGCCAACAAGGTGCACGGTCGTTCCCAGCCACAGCGCCACAAAGCGAACTCTTGAACCAACAGCTTTTAGTTCACTTGAACTGAACCTTGCTACTACTTCGGCTTCATAATGGAGCCCTTGGCAAGCGTTCACTTTCAGCAGCGTCGATACGAAGCTGTCAAATATACTCTCGCTGCTGCTGCTGCTCTCGGGAAAACAAGGCACGAGAACTTGCCATCGGAGTACAATGGGAGAGTTGTGCGTGACTGTACTTTACTGGGCAGACAGGTGGGTTAATGGTGTGTGCTCTGTACGAGGGGTTCATTCATTAATCATTGGCGAAGTTCAAAAGTGCTGCTGCTGGTCTTGCGAGCGCCAGGGCTTGATGGCCGTGGCGGTGGTCTGGGCTGGTCATGGTGTGTAGGAAGCAGGCGTGCTGTCAGCTCGCTTGACACATTCATAACATCTCGTGGCCATCATTGTGTGCTGACATCAAGACAAAGTGAAGCCACTCTGCAACAAGTTCATGGATGGGCGAGGGCCCTTTGTGATCTGCTGTTACGGGACAACACTGCGTGGGCGAACACGTGCATGATGAACACGGCGTAGTTACTAATGTACTGGCATTGTAGCAAACGAAATGGGACGATAATGCATTATACGTAATGCTGTACTACAGTCCTTCAAAAATGTGTATTAAGTCGTGAAGACAGTGAACGTATAAACAAACGTATTGAGAACATTGTGATGGCCATTATTGCACATGCACTTTCAGAGATCTATATTTCTATATGCACTCGATGTATTAATGAACCTGCATATCCAGACTACTAATATGCGGGGTGGGTATGTTAACATTTTCAATGCTAACCTTATTTTGCTCAGAATATGTTTTAACCGAGATAAGTCCATAGCCGGACGTGTTGTTGTTTATTCACGGATTTAGATGAATGCCATTCACACTGAATTTCTGATAACCAGACGAGTGAATCAAGATAAATGTTAAAGCTGCAACTCGGATACAGAAAATGCGGACCCATTGATGTAGATGCTCGCTCCACCTGGCAACTGGGCAGTGCCGATGAAACATCTGAATATGAACATTTCGGTATCTAACGTTGCAGGATTTGATTTCATTTGCACAGTACTTAATGTATTTTATTTAGACGTTTGAAAAAAATGTAATTGTAGCTTCGAATATAAATGTATAACAGCTGTGCACATGAGTATATACAAGTTAATAATACACTGCTGGATATATTGCGATATTTTCGCCAATATCAGCACACTTAATATAAATGGGGTTCGCCCACAAAGACCTCTTTCATGCCAAGTTGTTCCAAAAAAGCAGGGCCAACGTGCACGTTTGGGGGCTCGTTCAAGAAAAACATTCGCGACCGCAGTGATTTAAGAAAGGTAGACACTATTTGGCACATCGGGCTTTAAGCAGTTTCTCATTTTGATAGATGGCTCTTGTGGGCTCCACTGTTAAACGGTCCTCATCGGTTATGTTTGCATTGAACAAAAATACTTGAGAGATACGCTAAAAGCCTGATTGAATGTGCGTGCAAAAAAATATCCACGCGTACATTCCTAAATGATTCGCAATGAAGAATTCCTTTGGTACATCCTCGCACTTAAGAGGCTGAAAATGATCAAATACATTATGGGACACGGTCAACATTGCAAAATATATATCTTTAAAGAAATGGACATTGCGATGATGTGTGTTTTAACGAAAGCACACAAACAGCGACCGATACGCGCCAAAATAAAAGCGTCGCGTGTTTCAAGCTGTGTTAGTTGGCGCCGCCCCAGTTCTACATTCGGTAATCCCCCGGCATTTAATAGAAATGACAGACGCATGCAAACATATAATTACCACCTTTAAAGCACGTGTATGCCGAGGAAGAATGGATGGGTCTGCGATTCACAAACCCCGGTGTCTTAATAGACAAAAGTGCCAGTCTGTTTCCCCCCTGTCCTGTCTGTCACGCTGCTGAATGCTTTTGGCTCTTTTGCTGGCTTAGTTACACCGAGTGACGGAGGCCAGATGTTGAGACCTGACTCGCTGGCCATTATTTGCTTTTTGTATTTTTTCCCCCCCTTCATTGGGCGCAGGTGTTCTGAGCTGAGAAGTTCACCATGATTCCCAGTCTCGGGGGATGGGAAGCTGTGCAGGGGGCTGCAGGTTTGAAGGCGTTTGCCAGCATCTGATCTAGTCTTGTTAGTGACTTTCTTCTACTTTATACGAAGAAAAGTATTGGTTGGTGGTGGTGGTAACCAGGTTTTTAAGGATTCATCACCTGGCGATTTGATGAAATGTCACAATTTGGGCTTGTGATTCAATTGAAAAATCAATTATTTGTTGTATTTTTATCTTACAGTCTTGTGTGCAGTGTTTCTCAACTCCTTAAAGCAGCAAGTCGCGAAACGAACCTTCAAAAGTCACTTGACGTCACGAGGCAGACCTTTACAAATGTGTTAACTATGTCACGAGACAATTTTTTTAAGTATTTCACGTCGTTCATATTATACAGAACCCTCGATACAGACACTGGGAATAGTGTCACTAGATTATAGCGGGTGTTACTCATCGTAAATTGATACAAGTTTAATTATACACTATACCGGGTATCGCTCTTAAATGTCCCAGAAATTGTCTCGGTTTGCCGTGAGTCGTTTTTAACTAAATTTTGTCACTGGGGAAACCCAACAAAATGATTAAAATCTTGCGACAAAATCACTACAATGGCAACACTGCATTATTGCACATTCATGATTGTTGGCTGCACTGGCTGCAAAAATATGACGTATCATTCGCGTACAATTTGTAGAAATTGTACGCAATTGTCACGCGGGGCAATTCGATGCGTCGCGCATCGTACGGATCGGCGGTACAGGCTTCCACGCGTGGCCACACCGCCTTGTCTCGCGGAGACCCGCTGCTCGTGGTTATACGCCGAGTTTCATCGGGTAGAGCGCAGAGGGCGAGCGAGCCCGGCGAGTTTGGTGGAGGTGCGGAGCCGAGACGCGAGGCGGCCACCTGCCTCTGTGGAGCACGAGGTTACGACCCGGGCTGATCGAGCGGTGTCAGGGCTGTGACGCTCAACGAAACGTCGCTCTCCTCCCTAGTAATCCCCCAGGGTTCCGCCCCCTGTCTCTCCCGCCAGACAAAATAGCCCTTGGTCAGAAGGGAACGAGCACGGGAAAGGGGGGGGGGGGTCAAGGAGAGTGTGCGACAATTTGCAAAGGGCAAAATGTGTCATTATTGGATGCTGCAGAGCTTTCGCGAAAGGTCTTGGGTGCTCGGGACGTGCAGGGTGTGGAGATCAAGTCGCCGGTTGTTTCACTGGAACATAACTCCTGGATACAAATATTTGAAAGAGAGGAAAAAACCCACTAAAAACAAGTTTTGATATACTTCGTTGTTGCTGGTGCATAAACAGAAATGACAAAACCACCAACAAATTTGTCAATAGCATTGCCCTAAAAGGTTTTTGTTTAAGAAGTGGCGATGCTGCCAATGGTCCTTATTAGCAGAGAAGGGCCATAGCCCAAAAATGTAGATTTTTTTTCATGTAATTATATATTTAAGAAATGTTTAAGTATATTTTTATTTTTAAGGTAGAATGTGGGGTTTTGCTCGAGAGAAGAATATTGATCTCAACGGATAAATTTATGATATATATTTCGAACACTCTAGTTAATGACTTAAACACATCTTAATTCTCCAGTAATTAGTCCAAAAGTGCTTACGTAGATGATCACGTGAGATGTGATTGTGAATTGTGGCAAAAACTTAAAAATGAAAATAAAAATGGACTTGTGTAGTCTTGAATCGCACGAATGCGAAGCCTTTCAAGTGATGAATGCACCACTGCATACATCTATAAATGCTACATGCGATAGCTTTTTTAACCCGGCAGTTTTAGGCAATTGATATCAACATAACATTATGGACACCTGTATGTAATGCATTTATACACTTTAGGTGAGGTATCATCTTACGTTGCACGCGACACATTCGCTCAGCTCGTGCCCCTGTTGCCATCTCGTGCAGGCGCTCTGCAGTCTACACAGATCTCCTGTGATCTGCGGTAGCGTGGCCCACCAATATCACGGATCCTATTAGTGGCGGGGTGAACTGCAAATTGACTCCACTCATCCATGGGAAAGGTTTGTGGATAACCACGGATCATAGCAACAATAGTGCTACGGGTGACGGGGTTTTTTCATGGACCATCTAGTAATAGGTAATAGGGTCGTGGATAAGAGACGTTCTCTCGTTTGTGAAAAAACTTCAAAGGAATTTCCACTAAACCCCAAAGAGGGTGCTCGCAGTGTTTGTAGCTGCTTATCCCCGAGTCGCTGAACCACAGTAGCACCGTACAGGATTACCTTGTTGGTGCACGAGTGCCACGCACACTTGGACAATGGCCATTCTTCTGCGCCCTTGTTAGCGAGGCCTGCCCATTAAGCAGAGCCTCTCACTCTCCACGCCTGAGTGGCAGCCCGAGTGGACATCGCACGGGGAGAGAGAGAGAGAGAGGAAGACGGGGACACTCTCCCTTGTGCAGGAGGAAGGGCTCCGAGTGGGGGCCCTGGGGGTGGCTGACTGTGGTTGTCAGAGACTAGTCTGACCAGTGTTTGATGGGGCACATAAATCTGTATACGTACCATCTGTCCCTGCAACCACATACCAAGATGTGGGATGTCGTCCTGGTGGGTCTAATTACTGAGACATGTATTAATTCGCCCGACACAGATTTGGTGGCTTGTGAATTGATCCTCGTGCACAAGTAGGTGTGCCTAACGTGAGCGTCAAAGTTTATTTTAATTAATCAGTGCACAGCTTACAAAGCTAATTATCATTTTGGAAAAAGCCAAGAGTCCTTTCGCTAATTTTGCGGAAAATACTTTGTATAGCAGATATTACTTTTCAGATAATGTATTGGGTCAAATTGAGAAGTCAGATCATTTATTGGGTGAAATTAAGTCGAAATTCAAATGGAGAAGTGAACTGAAACACTATCGCACTCTGAGTGGCAGGGACTATAACACATGCTCTGTAACGTTGTGAATTGTAACACTCTCGCACTCTGAGTGGCAGGGACTATAACACATGCTCTGTAACGTTGTGAATTGAAACACTCTCGCACTCTGAGTGGCAGGGACTATAACACATGCTATGTAACCTTGTGAATTGAAACACTCTCGCACTCTGAGTGGCAGGGACTATAACACATGCTCTGTAACGTTGTGAATTGTAACACTCTCGCACTCTGAGTGGCAGGGACTATAACACATGCTCTGTAACGTTGTGAATTGAAACACTCTCGCACTCTGAGTGGCAGGGACTATAACACATGCTATGTAACCTTGTGAATTGTAACACTCTCGCACTCTGAGTGGCAGGGACTATAACACATGCTATGTAACCGTTGTGAATTGTAACACTCTCGCACTCTGAGTGGCAGGGACTAAACACATGCTCTGTAACCTTGTGAATTGTAACAATTCTCTTTGTTGTTATTTATGTTCATGAACAACATTTGCACTAGTAAATATTGCCAATTATACACAGTTACTATATGTGTCAATAAAAAATGTCAGTGGTTAGTTAATGTTGAATCAATTCGCCAATGGGCCTTCCAGATTTGTACTTGGGAACCTATGTAAGGTTGTCTTCACTGAGTATCATCACTAAAGTGTGGCCTGTTAAACTAACACAACTTGCGTCATGGGCAAGAGCCTGATGCAGTGATTTTGACGGTTTACAATGTACCATAGCGTGCAAGTTTGTATATTTGCAGATGCTAAAGTGTTCCATTTAGGGCGTAACATCTTAAGCAGACACACACTCTCTTGTATGTGCGCAAGTCTGCTCTTGGACATGAGCCGGTGCGGAGTTTGGTGGCAAACCCTGAGTGAAAAAATTCTGTATGGCCAACAAAAGAGAACATTTGTGATAACCGCTCTATGAACATTTCGCAAGGGTTATCTTCCAATTCTTTGTCATGTCGAGTAATATACCTTCTGAAAAGACACGACCTAGTTTTACCACTTCGCGTGCTACTGAAAAGTGAAATATCTGGTATGTAGTCATGGAATAAACCCAGTTGTACTTTCAAAGTGTAATAGACAAACGGTAAACATCTCCACCTTTGCTCGCTCTGCCCCTCCCTAACAGCAACACACCTGCTCAGCTGTGGGTTTGACACCTTATTTTGCATGCGCGTGTACAAGTGGCTGTGCTGTGCCAGCCTTCATAGGTGCTCGCAAACAGAAGTATGTTAAACGCTATATGGGGGGGGGGGGTCTTTGTGTTGTGCGTCTGTGCAGACTTTATCAATTATCCTCCATTCTTGAGCAAGCAAACGGATGACTCGGAGAGCATTGACGAGAGAGGGAGAGAGAGAGCGCGACTGCAGTGAGATTGATAAATCCTGGATGACCCACGTCTGTCATAAAACACAACCATGAAGCATCCGCACCATCGCCAGCTCTGCCTCGTCCTTCCTTAATAATACCAAAACCACAACCGCCGTTTGCCACCAAGTGGCGGTGACATCACTACGGCGCTTGTGCCAGGCTAGGTTCACTTTGAGGCCACGTGAAGTGTCGAATGCCCGCTGGCAGGAGGTCACGAAGCTGATCCAGGTGCCATGGGTTGACTGAGGTGACTGGCAAATGCACCAACTGTGCTCCCCACTGTGCCAACTTTCTGCGTTTTATCTACCCGGCGTTCCGCTCGTTGTTGTGAGCGTGGCTCCTCAGCCCTCCGCTGTTGCTGGAGGGCGACTGCCTCCATCTCCCCGGCAGCATCCTTCACGAACCTCCTCCACAAAGGCCGATCTTGACACTGCTGCTGCTGCTGCCGGTCATTGGCAAGTCCACTCAGCTTCACGTCCTTCTGTATCGCATCAGTCCTGCAGGTGTAGCCGCCTGTAGCAGAGAACGGGAGAGGGATAGAGGAACGGTGTGAAGACGAAAATATAGAGCGAGTTCGTATCTGTCCCTAACTCTTTCTGGCGCATCTTGCACTCACGTTACATTTCTGCTGTTTTACGGTTATCGTGGGTTTAGTTTACGGCCGTTAAAGACGTCGTTTGTTAGTTGTGAAGTGTTCCTTGAGAACTCCGTACTCGTTCTCTGCGATATTGATGTGTTTGTATTTTATTTGTGTTGCTGCTGCGTTCACGCACCACGGGCCCCCTTGTAAAATAGGCCGGGTTGGCAACTGGCTGAACGGGATCATCCGGGAAAACGAATCAAAGTAAAGTCGAACGAAAGAGAGGCGCTGTGTGGGCGCTGTCTGCACGCGCCTTCCTCCTCTCAGAGTGGTGAGCACCTGGCGTGAGTCACTGGGGTGGGTGGACGGGTGAGTGGGTGGGTGAGTAGGTGGGTGAGTAGGTGGGTGAGTGGGTGGGTGGACGGGTGAGTCAGTGGACTGGTGAGTGGGTGGGTGGACGGGTGGGTGGACGGGTGAGTGGGTGGGTGGACGGGTGAGTGGGTGGGTGGACGGGTGAGTGGGTGAGTGGACGGGTGAGTGGGTGAGTGGGTGGGTGAGTGGACGGGTGAGTGGACGGGTGAGTGGGTGGATGAGTGGGTGGGTGAGTGGGTGGACGAGTGAGTCGGTGAGTGGACGAGTGAGTGGGTGAGTGGATGGGTGAGTGGGTGAGTAGGTGGGTGGGTGAGTGGGCGAGTGGGTGAGTGGACGGGTGGGTGGACGGGCGAGTGGGTGAGTGGATGGGTGAGTGGGTGAGTGGACCGGCGAGTGGGTGAGTGAGTGGGCGAGTGGGTGGGTGGACGAGTAAAGTCGGTGAGTGGACGGGTGGGTGGACGGGCGAGTGGGTGAGTGGACGGGTGAGTGGGTGAGTGGGTGGGTGAGTGGGCGAGTGGACGGGCGAGTGGGTGAGTGGACGGGTGAGTGGGTGAGTGGGTGGGTGAGTGGGCGAGTGGACGGGCGAGTGGGTGAGTGGACGGGTGAGTGGGCGAGTGGGTGAGTGAATGGGCGAGTGGGTGGGTGGACGAGTGAGTCGGTGAGTGGACGGGTGGGTGGACGGGCAAGTGGGTGGGTGGACGAGTGAGTCGGTGAGTGCGTGGGTGGATGTAGAAAAACAACCCAAGCGCAGGCGAGGCGGGCGGGCGGTGCGGGTGACCGGGAGAGCGAGAGGGAGGGGGAGGTGCGAGGGAGGCGCTGCCGCGTCGCCCTGGCTGGAGCCGCACACACGCGGGGCACTCACGCGCAGCTCAGCGGTCGCGTGGGCTTCGCTGCGTGCGGTGGAGGTGGTGGGGGGTGGACTTTTTCCGAGTCTTGTCAACTCTCCTCTCCGATATAAACGGGCAGCCGAGTGCGTGTAAGCTGCTTACGGCGAGTTGGCTTCGTCACCCACGCAGGATTGCATTTCATAAGAACAAATACTCTTCTACGGTACTTGCGATTACTTTGAAGGTTGTGCAAACAACAACAACAACTTTGACAAGCTCCACTGCTGGGCTGTCTGGCGTGTTGAAGACATCTCGACTGGGCGCTCTCTCCCTGGCTCCCCTCTGCCCGGCGCTGTGGCACAGCAGTGGACACAATGACCCCTCCACCACTCCTGCTGCTGCTGCTGTTGGGCATTAGTTGCCTGTGGACACTGCCGACCAATGGACAGCACCAAAGCATAAGCAGGTATGGGCCCAACTCACTCACCTGCTGCGATATCAGAGGCAAAGGTACCCCGTGGCCCCTCTTCACAGACTGTTCGGGCAGGTGCCGTTTGCGAGCGCCTATGAAGGCTGGCACGGCACACGAGGGGCTGGTGGTTGGCCAACACCACGCCCGGCCGCCTTTGTCTCCCCAGTGTTGATGTTTACACATCACTTGAGGCTGAGTTGACCTAGGGGAGATGCTACACGCACACTCGCAGACGTACGCGCATTCACCACCTGCTGTAGCGCACGCCGTGAAGGTTATGCATAACGTATACAAAGACAGAGATCCCCCGTATAGCCTTGACAGACTTTGGGACAAGTGCCGTCTGCGAGCACCTATGGAGGCCGTCACTTTTAAGTGTTTTTTGTTCTTTTGACTAATCAACCGAAGCATGCAGCTCGTGCGTGGGACACAAATACACTCGGCACAGCAGATTGTCTACAAAGAGAACCATTCCTTCCCTGTGCTGTACTGGTGCGTGCCTTCTTGACATCAGCAGCCGCATGGCTTGTGTTGGATGCAGGAACGCGTGCACTCGCGTGACGAATGCACCAGTTCCACTTTCGAACTTTAGTCACTTTCTAAGCTAAGCTATGCACACTACGCTATAGGCTACAGCAGTTTTATTTGACCAGGTAAGCTTCACCGAGCTGTGTAGCTCTTTTTTCAGAAGCGACCTGGTCACAAATGATCGCTCAGCGTAGTGGCTTATCACGTGGACATTTATTTCTCAGACAAATACTCAAAACGCGTGATGTTGATTCTAAATGTGGAGGGGAAAACTGGAGGACCCGGAGAGAGACACCCAAACTCCAAATATACAGCAGCAGCAGGCGTCGTGGTCGGGATCGAACCCACGACCTCCTGTGCACCAGGCGAGGTAGTTAACATCTCCTAACCACCGTGGCGAGATGTTAACTCCGATGTTCATGATTAGCAAGTGAACTGCTCACAGGGTTATGAAAATGTGGTCTAAACATGCCCAGTGAAATTCGTGTATTGAAGAATATCCCCTCCTTATACCCTCCATCTGAGTTACACGTGATGCACATTAATGTCGTGTACATGTTATACGTGATGGGCAGTTTTGTTTTGAAACGAGATATTGTTTGATTTGGCATACGAAGATATCACCTTGAATGCACCCAATCTCGTAAGACCTCAAGCCAAGCAGGTGTGAGCCTGGTAAGTAATTGCACTTTGATCGGACGTAGACTGCTTGGTAATGCCCCAATGTTGTTGGTTTGGCTGTGAGTTGACCGTAAAAAGGTAGTATAGCAACGAATTATTGTATCTATCTGTGTGGAGTGTGTGCATGGGCTTTCTCAGGGGGCCCTGGTTACCTCCCGTAGACCAAACGTGGATGCGATTGCCCAAACACTCCACCGCAGGCCCGTCTTGAATGAGTCTTGAGACTCCTTAACGATAACTTTACTTCAGCGCTTCTCATTGATTTCAGTCAAAACTACAATTTGGACTCGCTGTGCGATTAGTGCTTCGGATATTTGCATTTTAGGTCGGTACACTGTACAGTTTTATTGATATTACTATTATCAGCACATGCGATGTAGTATATTCTACACATCCAACAGTGACCTTCTTTATTTTAATAGTATTTAGGTGTATACAATTGAATAGTATATTATATTATGAAACAACAATGCATTTGTGTCATTGTATGTTGAACTTTTATCGCAAAGTACGTAGCCAGCCGTGCTCATCGGGGCTGCGGGGAATGCAGCAGCAGCAATAATAATAATAACAATAAGGTCGTGAATGAAATAATCTATTCGGCACATGTACTGGGACAATGAGCTTGTGGTGCATCGTCAGGTGGGCAGGTGCACGAGATGTTTAACACACAGCAGCAGCTGCTGTACACAGGCCACGTCAAACGGCACAATCAAAGTTGCAGTAGATGAAAGTTATGCCGCGTATTTGTTTTGTTTTTATACGTGAGCAAGACTGTTTTGGGGAAAAACAGAGACGCGTTTTGACCCTCAGTGTGGTGAGTGGGTTCGAGTGGGTGAGTGGGTGTTGTGACCCTCATTGTGGTGAGTGGGTGAGTGTGTTGTGACTTGTGTGGTGAGTGTGTGAGTGAGTGAGTGGGTGAGTGTGAGTGTGTGTTGACCCTCATTGTGGTGAGTGTGTGAGTGTGTTGTGACCTTCTGTGTGGTGAGTGTGTTCGAGTGGGTGAGTGGGTGAGCGAGTGTGTTGTGTGTTGTGACCTACAGCGTGATGCTAGAACACACTGTGGATGAGATGAAACAGTGAGTTCGGCAGACCGTGTCCTCTAAACAGGAGCAGTGATCACTGTGTGTAGTGAACACGAACGCTGACCATGGCAGTAGCGATAGCAGAGCGACAAGGAGGCGGCTGGTCTCTCATCAGAGCGAGTGCTGGACCATCTCGACCTGGCCCCTCCACTCTGAAGCCTGTCGACGACATCGCAGGCGACTTCTTCTGCCTGAGACGCTGCCAGCGCATTCGTGAACGTGCCCCCCCCCCCCTGCCTTCCACTGCTGGATGATAGACTCCCCCCCTCGCTGTGTCAGTCCAGGGGGAATGTTTTGACCACACTTCACTGCACAGCGCAAAGTGCGGGATGGTGAAGGAGGCACCCGTGGCCGCTTCAGATGTCACTCGCCACTGATGTTAGCCGTGACCGAGAATCCAATGGGATGCGGCGGGTTTGTAGTGTCGTGCGCGAACCGCTGTGCCCCCCCCCGCTCCACCGCCTATTCGAGCACCACCCGATCCACTCGTCCTGTACACATCTAGACTCGCAGAAGCCCGTGCAGTCGACCTTGTTAGCTGCTGCGTGTTTCGCGAGTGTTGTGAAGTGTTTTGTAAATGCCCAGTGACGTTGTTATTGCGCATCTCTGCTCTTTAACAATTGTCCCATGCACCATCACGAAAAAGCGTCACCAATAATCATCAATAGCAGCGAGCACAGAGCACGCACTACTCAGACGTACACACCACCCACACACCACCCAGACACACACACCACCCACACGCACACACCACCCACACCCACACACCACCCACCCACACGCACACACCACCCACACCCACACACCACCCACACGTACACACCACCCACACCCACACACCACCCACACGTACACACCACCCACACGCACACACCACCCAAACGCACACACCACCCACACCCACACACCACCCACACGTACGCACCACTCAGAGTTTCAAGGCTTGTGGCATGGCAACTTGGCAGGACAACGCGGTTGACAAGACACACTTCACATACGCTGTACTAGTTAGCGAGACGTGTTCGTTTTTAACGCCTTAAATTGTTCATGAAAATCAAGCGACCGAGTGTTGCGTTGGAGATCAACGCTATAAATATAAAAACACATCCTTTAGCATTCTTTGCAGGCGCATGATCTGCATTTTACAGGTTTTGAGAAGTGGAAACTATTGCACACAAGAGGATTTGTACAAACTGTTCAAACAAATGTGTTCGCTTTTCTGTTCGGTGCCCAGTGCCCATCAACATTTTCGCCACGCGAGTTGTTAACGAGCGTGGGAACGTGGGAGTCACAGTTGCTGCCACGTCTTGATCCCATCATCATCAACATCAATGACAATGGTCATTGTGATGTACATCCCAAGAGCATCGCATTCGCCCCGGTACATCGAACTAAGCCAATTACTCTTCAGTCAGCTGTGCACGAGGCAGCTGGAATAACCCCATACAGAAGCATGCTGTCCGTGTCTCGGTGTGTTAACTCTGGATAACCTAATTCTAGATGACCTAACTCTAGATAACCTAATTCTAGATTACCTAACTCTAGATAACCTAATTCTAGATTACCTAACTCTAGATAACCTAACTCTAGATAACCTAATTCTAGATTACCTAACTCTAGATAACCTAATTCTAGATAAGCTAACCGACTCTCTTCACACATTCGCCTACTTTACAAACCCACGTTGACTGCGTTACATCCGAGGGTCTGCCTGCATTTGATGTTAATAGCACAATACGCTCATTTAAAACAAAGTATAAAATAATGAGTTTACGCTGAATGTGAATGGCTTATTCGACATACAAGGCGCAGCCCTGCAATTGCTTGCTCACGCCGCTGCTGGCAGTCGGGCCGCTCTGGGTAGCCCCTTCGAGAGAGGGGGGGGGCACGTGGCCGACTTTGCTGCGCTGTTCGTTGTCTCTGAATGTGTGGGGTATTACCCACGCATCACCCCACCACGCGCGGCCTGCGGTATTCACATGTCACTGCCGGGTGGACAGTGACGGGCTGGTGGTGGTGGTGGTGACTCTCGCGCCGTAACACAAACTGGTGCCCCTCTGGGTTGCAGGGCCCCGTGTGGCAATCCCGGGGAAGCATCCCACCCACACACAATGAACACCTCCGGCGGGCTCTGTGCGTGTGCCAAAGACGTGCATCATGCAGACAGTGCAAGCACGAACCTTTGTAAAACATGAATAAGACATCTTCACCTAAGTGCAGACAACTTTTGACTTAACCCCAAAACAATTCCCTTCCGACCGACACACACGCAGGGCTGGTTTGCACGGCTCGCCTCGCACAGCTGATTATGAATGCACCATTAGCGTGTGAATGGCAATGCAGATGAGGGCCCACAAAGGGAATGTGTTCGGGGATGACGAGGCTGCCGCGTCGTGCGTCTAACGTACACAACGATTCGAGCCGGCGCTATTCTTAGTTTTTATAGCTCGCAACTCAGTCACTGGAGCACCGAGCAATCCCATCTTGGGACATAACGCATACACGTGCAGCGCGCATTATGCCCGCGCGCAGCCGGTGATCTATTATAGCACGGGTCCTCACAGCTACAGCGCGGAAACTTAGTTTCAGAAACCTTGTTTAAGAAAACTTGTTTCTAAACGTGCAAGTTGTGGTGGTGGCACCGCGGGGTGGTGGACGCAGCCGTGCAGCGACCTCGGTGGAGCAGCCAAGAAAGACGGGGGGGGGGGCATTGCCCCATCCACAGACTGTGAACATTCACTATTCTATTGATATTTACCAGAGAAAATATTTAAATGTTTTTATTTATTAATTTGATTAATTTAGAGTCGTGTTTATTTTTTGGGGACATTTCCAGAACTACCCCCCTCCCACCACCTTGGGAAGTTTCTGGATCAGCCTCTGATCCCAATGACCCAGGGCTGGATTCCTGGCCATGCACCAACACCATCTCGGCCTGGCCTATGGCTGCCCTGAGTCGCCTCGGCTTTCACGAACGGGGTGCGTGGTGGAGTGACCGGCTCCGCAATCTCCAGCGCGGAGATAACGAAGCTCACTCCCGTGGCGTCCCGTAGCTCCAGTTCAGGTTTTCCTGCCAAAGAATCCCACACGGGCCTCCCAGTAGAACAGGTCCGGCGATAGCCCCTGCACCCGCGGCTGCGTTGACATCACTTCTTTGCTGTTGCTCTCGTCAATGGATCGCCTGCTCATGTCACCCGCGATTACAAAACCCCGAGACAGATCGCCTCCATCAACCTGGACTGGATCCGCGGCACGCCTATGGTTTTTACTCCACCTCTGGCGGTGCCTCACCGCAACCAAACATCTGCCCCTCCAGCAGCGCGTGTCCCGCTAATCGGGGACGATGCGCGCGTGTGTGTCGTGCGAGCAGGTACCGCCAGTACCACCAGCTGATCGTGGGGCCCCGTGCTCCCTACGGGATCCCGGCCGGCAGCCACCCCGGGGTTTGCCGCTTCGGCACGCGCCTCGACTGCTGCTACGGTTGGCACTGGACCGAGAGGGGCACCTGCCAGCGTGAGTGTGACGACGACGACGACGATGACCTTGCACAGCACTGCACCCAAAGGAATGCTCAGGGGGGGATGGGACATTAAACTTCAACAGATGTTGCCGTCCATGCACCCTCAAGTGTAACTCAAGAGCGACTGGCAGGGCTTAATATCTCTCTGAGTATTGTGTGGTAGACTGGGGTCGACACGTGAACGAGTAGCTGCATTGGATGTGGTGTGGCAGGTGCGGAAAGATCTCCCTGGTCACTGATCCGGGCAGATCTGGCTGAAATTAAGCCCTGGATATTGGGACAAAGCTCGTGGTGGGGGTCTCATCATCATCATCATCTTTATCACCTGTGGCCACGGTCTATCTGTAGCTGGATGAATGCCCCTCCCCATGCCGTCACCATCCCGAACAATCCCGCGATGCGACAATCCGTCATCTCCACGTCAACTGATGTCGTCGTTCCGTCTCCGCGGTGGTCGCGCTCTCTCCGGTGCATTCCTTCCCTTGACTGACGTTCTGTCACCACTCTTGTCCATCGGCCATCCTCCCTTCTAGCGACGCGTCCTGTCCAACCGATTGTAAATACAAGTATCTGTTGCACACACTGTGGCCAGTGCTGAAGAATGGGGATAAATGTGCTGCATTGCCGCCAGCGCTGCACCCCAAGCAATCATAATAGACAACATACCACACGCGAGCCACGCTGCAGGTGTGGGACTTCTGTTTAAGGCCATATTCTCTGCAATATCAGACCCTCAGGAAAGTAAAACCCACCACAAACTTTTGGCTAGTGCCAATAAAGACGTGCAAATCTGGCCACACACATACACACCGATGGCAGTACAAGTCATGCCCCCAACTTTTGCTTCAAACTACGGGGGGGGGGGTGCATCCTATACTCTGGAGAATGTGGTAATACTGTACACAGTGGGGTTCATAGGATGCCTTGCACGCTACTGTACACCGTAGTGTGTGTGACTCGGGGTGGGTTTTTTCGAATTGTGCATCGTATTCTGGTTCCCGTGTTAGGTCTTTTTGTGGTGTGACAGTTGGATTGGGCAGCCTAAACCTTCAAGACTGAGAATAGTCACATCCTCCTGGGCGTAATGCAGGGCAGTGAAAACAAGTTCGACCGTACAGGATCAGTAAATTTTGAAGGGGCAGTCACACCCATACACACACAGAGACACACACAGAGAGAGACACACACACACAGAGAGAGAGACACACACCCATACACACACAGAGAGACACACACCCATACACACACAGAGAGACACACACCCATACACACACAGAGAGAGATACACACACTAACCAAATACAAATACACACACACAAAGAACTTCTGCCTAGCTCTGGTGGACCTCAATAAAGTGCCACTTAGAATAGGGGTTCAGCATTAATAGGGCTTCTTATACAATTACACGTTTAATTACAGCACACACGGACCAATAGAAAACACTGTAGAAAAATTATCGTATAAGGTATGTTGTGTTTTTATAAACAATATCCAAATGCAGTGCTGTGGTATGTAGAGTCTGAACAATGTACGCACGGCCCTTTTCAGCCCACTGCTGGGGCGAGGCCTTGCCTCACTGTTTCAGTCATGTTTCTTTTTCGACCATAATTCACCACGATGCTCAGTGCCCATCGGCGAAGAGGTGGACATATTTCGTTTCTCGTGCAGAGAAAGTCTCACAATAAGAGGGCCACTGTTGATTCTGACTAAGTGGTGCACAATTTATTGACCCTACTAGGATGATGGGATGAGTGCACCCCAAGAACATAAAACATAACTGTGGTAGTGCAGTGGGTCGTGCACTGCGCTACGATTCGGGCGACCTGGATTTGTTCCTTTGCCACGGCTAACATCAGTGGCAAGTGATATCTAAACCGGTCCTTCCACCAATCCGCAGTGACCAGTGCGGTGAAGTATGGGAAAACAAAACCCATGACCAACACAGCATCGGACGGCCTTCATTCAACAGTGGATTGCTAAATGGCTGCATATTTTAATCATATTTCAGATTGTATAGAATGTTGACTGTACTATCCAGTAATTGTCTGAAACCATACGAATGTATGTTGAACTTCTTTCGTACCGTACGTAGCCAACCGTGCTAATCGGAGGTGCGGCAGTTATAAACATAACTAGCGATGGTTATCACTGCATGCTCGTCTAAAAGAGAAAACACTGCGGTGACTTTCACATCGCAGTTCTTTTCACATAATTATCGTTAAACACCTCTACTATTAATAGGAACGCCATACTTATACTCTGTATCCTCTTTAAACTAAGAACATCAAAATAACGTGATTTTTTGTTTCTTGGTTTATACTGTAGTATTATCCGCTTACATAACTGGTTAAGTGGTGCAGAAAATTTTCTTCCAAAAAAATAATGTGTTTAAGCAGCTGTCAGATTCCTAAAATACCGGTTCGCTTTGTTGTACATCCAGTCTTCACGCCTGCTTGACAGATCAGAAGGTGAATCGATTTTACCTGTCAAGTGTGCTGGGGATTTTATCAATGCCAGGCGTACATCAGAGGCTCCCATACACCGACCTGTCGTGTTTGCCTGTGCGCAGTATTTATTCAGAATTTTAAAATGTTTTTTGGTTTAAACATACTACAGGTGAGCCCTTACCGAGTGTATTTACCACAAGCTCTGTACGTAATCAGTAAACCCCATGTCAGTTTTCCGTTGACACGGTTGTAAGTTGTAAAATGCCATTCATGCGACTCTTTTTGGCACGGTGACATAGCGGAGTGGTTCGGAGGCTTGCCAGTTGGGGAGTGAGTCGCAAATGTTTGGCGGAATAAACCCTCATTTTACGCTTGCATATATTTTCCCAGGAAAACTTATCTGACATTTTTATTATCTCATGCAGGAAAGGCGTATGTAGAATGTTTAATCCATTCCGCGTATGCATGCATGGGCGAACAAAGGTGCCCATAGGAAAGCCGAGCTTGCGAAGGAAGCATGAACTCACAAGCATCGCCTGCCCAGTCACGCAGCAGGTCATTGTCATTATCACAAGACGCTCACATCACTTGAACATGATTAAACCTATGAAATTTCTCGCTGCAAATGAAAAACAGAACGTGTTTTGAATTCTCTTCCACGTTTGGCAAGCTCCAATCTCGCTCAGCCGCTTGAATGGGAACTTTTTGCACTGCCAACTTTCCAGCCATCACCTTTTTTTTATTCATTCGAAGCAATCGCCCTCGCCTCGTGTCGAGTCGCACTCCGGTCACGCTGCACGGACACGCCACGTCGCGCGGAGTAGAAGCCGTCGTTAAAAAATCCGCCTGCTTACTTCACGGTACGAAGCAAAGCCATTTAGCGACACACTCGCTTCTTTGGCGGCAGTTCTAATCTGCGTGGTCCATCACTGTTTAATATTTTTTTCGTGAAAGAAAGACACCTAAACAAATGAAAATTCATCCTGTTCTCACGGTCAAACACAATATGCCTTTTTTTTTATTAATGCTGCAGGAGGAATTTACTTTGCTTCGTGCTGTACACGACGGCTCTCTGAGTGGCACGGACAATTTCCGCTGCTAAGACGATTGAAGCGCCTTTTTGTTGTCGAGTGTCCGTGCTGCCATGGCAAAGGGCTCTGCTTAAGCTGCGTACGATCATTGCTTTCATTTTGGAACGTGCAACAGGGGACCTTTTGGGCTTTCCTAAAAAAACCTGTGGCTAATTCTTCAAGGTAATGGTGGGTGTAATGGGGCCATTGGCAGGACCGAGGATAGCATTCAGGAATGCTCACAGAGCACCCGTGTTGTTATCCAGGTTGAGTTGAGAGAAGACAAACAGAATCAGCGCTAATCCAGTAGCCCAGATTGTAAGTGGCCTTGCGTGCGTGTGTGTGTACGTGTGTGCGTGTGTACGTGCGTGTGTGCGTGTGTGAACGTGTGTGTGCGCGTGTGTACGTGCGTGTACGTGCGTGTGTCTACGTGTGTGTGTACATGCGTGTGTACGTGCGTGTGTACGTGCGTGTGTGTATGTGCGTGTGTGCGTGTGTGAACGTGTGTGTGCGTGTGTGTGCGCGTGTGTACGTGCGTGTACGTGCGTGTGTGTATGTGTGTGTATGTGTGTATGTGTACGTGCGTGTGTGTGTATGTGTGCGTGTGTGAACGTGCGTGTGTGCGCCTGGCACGTGGGTGTACATACTTTGGTGCACACACTTTGTGATTATTAATGAGCACGATTATGTTTCCGTAATGAATGAAAAATAGATAATTGTGACTGACTTAGTGAGTAACTGATGTTAATTATAATGATGACATTTTATAACTTTAGGCTAACCATTCCACTTTGAGTAAAACCTGCAGGCCATTTTTTTGCGGACCAAATGAAAAAAACCGGGATAATGTGTGATTATTTGTGTCATAACCCAGCTTAGGTCTCATAATGAAACTGAAAAATATATGATCCCAATCGTCAGTGAATCAACAAATGTTCCGCCTGCAGCTTGTAACACCAAAGCCGATAGAAAACACGTGCAGCCCGCTATCTGTTACTCTTTTATATATATAGAAAGTGCGGCTGCATAGAATATACCGTAGAGTGTTTGCCATTGAGCCAGTGTGCATGGAGTCAATTATTCAATACTCGCAGCCACCTGGTGATTCCAGTGGGGAATGACCAAAGCATGCCAACTTCGATAAAGTGGACATTAGTTCATAGCTGGGAGGCCGACCATCCCAAAGTGAGCCAGCGAGTTGTAGACATCTGTTGGGCCCCCTCACACCCATCCGGAGGTGTCTGCTGCCCGTTCCGCTCATACCGGGCTCTGGTTCCCACCCACGCCGATGGCGTTACATCAGTGTCGCGCTCCCAACAACGCCGGCGGACATTGTAACAACGCTCACCCCGTAACCCTAGCCCAGGGCTTCCCAAACACCACACCTCAAAACCCTCCCCCACCTCAGCCCAGCGGTCTATTTTTTCTTTTTATGTTTGAGCACAAGCATGTGCAGTGTGCGTTGTGCGCGCGCGTGTGTATAGTGCGTACATTAGTAACGTGCTAGAAGATATATTTGTTATTTGCAGATAAGCATCAAAGGGATGCGTTTGTACATTTTGTTAATGCTCTGCGTTGAGACACGTCGAGCGGATTTAAGGCTCGTGAATGAAACTTCTCCAAAGATAAATGTTAATAATGCACAGTCCGTTGATAAGGCATCTTGCATTGTGATAAATACTTTCCAAATACATTGCTGTTATATGTACAGTATAAATAATAATTCCAAATAATGTGTTTATCTATTGCTGGCTGTGGGGTTTATCTGACCGTGCCTCATTATTAAATTCATTAAGTTCACAACATTTAGGTCCACGTGAGCTTATCGCAGAAATTTTTGAACTGTTTTACAAAGTTTTTTCACGAATAGATTTTTAGTGGAAACCACTCTCCAGAGGCATCATGGGAAGGGGGCTGGCCACGTGGCCTGGCAAGAGCCACCATTATGATGACCTCATTGGTATTCTGAACAAGTCACCTGTTCATCATCAGCATCGCCAGCTATGTTCTAGCCACTGCTGGATGAAGGCCTCTCCAAGCTGTCACCTTCATTCATCCTCCCGAGATGCTACAATCCATCGTGCCCCCGTGCGTGAGCTGAGACGCCATCGAGGCGAGATGTTAACTGCCTCGCCTGGAATATAGCAGGTCGTGGGTTCGATCCCAAAACTGACGCCCGTATATTTGCAGTTTGCATGGTCTTCCCGTGGTCGCGTGGATTTTTCTTTGGGCCCTCTAGTTTTTCCTTCCACATTTAGAAACATGCGTTTAGGGAATTTGTCCGCTATAAAATTCCACATAATCAGTCACTTAGTTAAACTTTAATTTGTGGCTGGGTCACTTCTGAAAAAGAGCTACACAGCTCAGTGGGCCTTACCTGGTAAAGTAAAAATAGTCGTGATAGTAAATAGCGATCTCAGCCGATTGCATTCTTCTACCTCCACCTGGGGCTTTCTTTTATTTGGCTGCCATTCGGTCACCAGTCTCGTCTGTCGGCCGCCGTCACCCCTTCGAGCGATGTGTCCCCGCGCTCAGTCGCGACGACGTCTCCGCGTGGCATCGCTCCGCGTCTCACCTCTCCTCGGGCAAAACTATTTATCAGGTGAGAATGCTCAAGTTTGAAAATAAATATTCTTAGGTTTTTTCGGTAAAGTCACGTAGGTAAAAAATTTTAATTAATAAAAGTAAAATAAAAACTTTTATAAATTTTACTTTTTTACCTACGTGACTTTACCGAAAAAACTTAAGAATATGAATCCTTGCAGTCACGAAAGCTTCAAATCTAGAATTGAAAATAAATGTTCCATGGACTGCTGTTGCACGACACTCAATCTCTGCCTTCACGCCTGCCGACGTCGAGTCTTGACGCTGCATTAACACCCTGGGTGCACAGATGGTATCTGTGTGCAAGGATTAGTCTGTGTGTTGTTTCAGCAGGTGTGCGTTGGGATAATTATAGCACAGGTTTCTGAAGTTTGTTCTTGCAATAGTGTTTTGGTTTTAAGTGCATGTTGACTTAGATTGCAGAAATATGGTATTTTATTACCAACGGAGCGTTTTTTTTCTGACAATCAATGAAGGCCATCTTTCCATCAATATTGTTGCTCACCAGCGATTACAAATAGCAAAGTTACTTGCGGACAATGAAATCCACAGCCAGGATCAGCGGCTGGGTGGCATCGCGGCCCCGCTGGGCGCAGGGCCCGACGTAGCCTCCACGGCCACCACCTGCGGGCTCGACCTCTCGCCGGCACCACGAGGGAGGCAGCGCCGCCTCGTCACGCCGTCCACCCGCGCCGCCGGTGGATGCACCGAGCGGCCGCAGCCTCCCACCGGTCCCCTTTTAGCCCCATCCCAGAGATGACGGAGATCAAGGCCCTCTTGCCCACCTAGCCCCCCTCGGGCCTCGCCACTCGACGCCCCGGAGCCGTCCAGGACTCCCCGTTGCGACGTTCCGCCTCGCGCTCGCTGCCCTCCCGGTTAGCCCCGGGGCGAGCTCGCTGTCGACTTGCGTGGATGCACCACCGAAACGACGGCTGCCCGGGTCCCCTGGGCGTGCGTGCGTGGCGCCTGCGCTCGTTAGAACGAGAGTGATGTGTTCCCGTAACCTAATCATTCGCAAAGTCCCTTCCTCGTCCAGCGCCCGCCCGCTTGTGCCCGTGTCTCGTGATAATACAACGAAAAGTGAACGTGAGCTCTTCTGCCAAGTTCCCACGCGAGAGCCTCTGAGCTCACATGTCTCTGTGTGTCCACTCTGAGAAGCACGAGTATGAAAACACCAAAATGCCGACGCTTTTAGCCCTCCCGACATGTCACCTGTGGTCTCCTTGCTCATACAACACTCTGGGTTTCTTAGGCAGCGCCGCCCCACGTGGTGCCCACCGCCCCACGTGGTGGTGGGCACCACGCGGGGTGGTGCCCACCACCACGCGGGGTGGTGCCCACCACCCCGCGTGGTGGTGGGCACCACGCGGGGTGGTGCCCACCACCACGCGGGGTGGTGCCCACCACCCCGCGGGGTGGTGGGCACCACTCGTGGTTGTGAGTCGCGTGGTGCCCACCACCCCGCGTGGTGGTGGGCACCACGCGGGGTGGTGCCCACCACCACGCGGGGTGGTGGGCACCACGCGGGGTGGTGCCCACCACCCCGCGGGGTGGTGGGCACCACTCGTGGTTGTGAGTCGCGTGGTGCCCACCACCCCGCGTGGTGGTGCCCACCACCCCGCGTGGTGGTGGGCACCACCCCGCGTGGTGCCCACCACCCGCGTGGTGGTGGGCACCACGCGGGTGGTGCCCACCACCACGCGGGGTGGTGCCCACCACCCCGCGGGGTGGTGCCCACCACCACCCCGCGTGGTGGTGGGCACCACTCGTGGTTGTGAGTCGCGTGGTGCCCACCACCCCGCGTGGTGGGCACCACGCGGGGTGGTGCCCACCACCCCGCGGGGTGGTGGGCACCACCCCGCGGGGTGCCCACCACCCCGCGTGGTGGTGGGCACCACGCGGGGTGGTGCCCACCACCCCCGGGGTGGTGGGCACCACTCGTGGTTGTGAGCCGCGTGGTGCCCACCACCCCGCGTGGTGGTGGGCACCACCCCGCGGTGGTGGGCACCACGCGACTCACAACCACGAGTGGTGCCCACCACCACGCGGGGTGGTGGGCACCACCCCGCGTGGTGGTGGGCACCACCCCGCGGGGTGGTGCCCACCACCACGCGGGGTGGTGGGCACCACGCGGCTCACAACCACGAGTGGTGCCCACCACCCCGCGGGGTGGTGGGCACCACCCCGCGTGGTGCCCACCACCACGCGGGGTGGTGGGCACCACGCGACTCACAACCACGAGTGGTGCCCACCACCCCGCGTGGTGGTGGGCACCACCACCCCGCGGGGTGGTGGTGGGCACCACCCCGCGTAGTGGTGGGCACCACCCCGCGTGGTGGTGGGCACCACCCCACGTGGTGGTGGGCACCACCCCGCGTGGTGGTGGGCACCACCCCGCGTGGTGGGCACCGCCCCACGGGGTCAGCGCGAGCGTTCACCCCTCCCGCGGCCACGGTCATTGACACCACGTGGCTCTGCGGCTGCAAGTGTTGGGTCTGCGCTGCGTTTGCCGGGTCCTTGCTTGTGTTAAAGCGTTCGAAACAGCAACCGCTATTGTCAGGTGCTACCCGCGTCACGTCTGCGCCAACTTGAATGTGGTAAGAAGACATGCAAACATCTATGGATTATTGTCCCTTACGAATAGTGGGGAGTGGTGGCGTAGTGGTGAGGGCACCGCGCTATAAACTCGACTCACAACCACGAGAAAGTGACATCGGAACCGACCCAGGGCCTCTCCCCTTCACCAAGCGACACTGACCAGCGCGGTGAAGTATGACCAAACAACCACCGTGACTGGCACAGCATGGGGAGACATTCATCCAGCAGTGGATTGACACCGGCCTGCATATCAAGTGTAATCATTGTCTGACGAATAGCGACGTGCCGGTATAACAAACCGTGACTGCCTTTCCCAAAGTCACGGACCCGCGTGTGTCTGCGCTACGGCACGAGCGTGTCACGTGCGCGTGCCTCGAAATATAACGAGACGCACGCAACGGTGCGGGAAGAAGTCTCGATTCGTGTCGTTGGGAGCTTCGCTTTGGGTTGCGTGCGATGCGACTCGGCTCCCTCCCGACCACCAGGGAAGCGCTAAGCGGTTAAACTTCATTTACATCACACGTGCTCCACGCGAATACAACTGTCTCGGAGCACTTCATGAATAGATAAAATGCAATACACCTTGTTTATAACAAGAAAGCAATGTACCCAGGCAATATAGTTAAACACTCCCGAAAGCGTACGTTATAATCAAGGCCAGTTACTAAAACGAAGGAATAACACCGTGAAAGCATCGACCGAGCTCACCTCACGCCTTTGCTGTGCACCGTTACAGAGTGGTGGGTCTCATCTTCTTGGTTCTTTCGGTAAAGTCACGTAGAAGGAGTGGTGGGTCTCTGTGTGAACCGTGGCCTCTACCGACACTCTCTGGTGCTCTGACGTTTGAGTGGCCACCGCTCCGCTCATGTCTCCTCTGCCCTGTTGCTGTGGCCCCGATTCCGTACCCCCCCCCCCAACCCCCTCCCGTGTAGCGATCTGCGAGCTGGGATGCAAGCACGGAGAGTGCGTGGGGCCCAGCAAGTGCAAGTGCCAGCCGGGCTTCACCGGCAAAACCTGCAACCAGGGTACGGCCACCTGTGGGGTAACAGCAGCAGCAGCAGCTGCTGTGCCCTCGTGTGTGCATCCCTCACAACAACAGCAGCAGCAGCAGCAGGATAAGCTGGCTGGTCATCGAACAAGAGACGGTGGCCACTGCATCGCGATGCGCTTTCAGACGCGCTTCTGCGGCCGTCTGGAACGCTCTTCCTTGCGATATTAGGAAGCCACCGGAGCTATGAAAGTTAATTTATTTAGCACTGCTTTTTTGTGTTTAGTTTGTTGTCCTGCCCCCCCCCCCGACACCTCCGATTAGCGTGGTTGGCTACGTACGGTGCGAAAAAAGTTCAGTACACATACATACTCCGCGTGTCGGCTGCCTGTGTAAGAAACAAGTTCCATCCGGTGGTACCGCCTGGCCCCGTGGGTTGTGGAGGCTCATGCCGAGGAGCTCCTCGTGCTCGGATGTTCCTGAGGTTCACCGCCTGCCTGTGTTGTCCACTGCCTGTGTTTGTGGTGTGTGGGACAACGGATATACACGTGGACGTTTTAACGACTCGAAAATGTACGGAGCGCAGTCACTTTGTCACCTCAGGCACGTCAACCACAGCAATTTATTTAATCAAACAGCTTTTGGAAGCTTTGTTAGCTTTTGTTTTAAGTGCCCTTGCAGTGCTGCTATGTCTAAGCAAACACGAAACATGTTTTTCTTACAAGCAACAGCACGCAAATAAACAATCGCAAATTATCACAACGGAGGTGAAAACAACGCAGCGAAGGCGTTGGGGCTCCCTTGCTCCCAGCTTGCTGTCACTGCGCGAGTCGCGAGGGCTCTCCCCGCTAACCACTCGTCTCGCTCTGCTGTGTCTGCTGTCTCTGCTGTGTCTGCTGTCTCTGCTGTGTGTGCTGTGTGTGTGCTGTGTATGCTGTGTGCGCTGTGTATGCTGTGTCTGCTCTGTGTGCTGTGTGCGCTGTGTCTGCTGTGTGTGCTGTGTGCGCGCTGTGTCTGCTGTCTCTGCTGTGTATGCTGTGTGCGCTGTGTATGCTGTGTGTGCTGTGTGCGCTGTGTATGCTGTGTGTGCTGTGTGTGCTGTCTCTGCTGTGTGTGCTGTCTCTGCTGTGTGTGCTGTGTGCACTGTGTCTGCTGTCTCTGCTGTGTGTGCTGTGTCTGCGCCACGGCCGGCAGACTTCAACGAGTGCGGCCTGAAGCCCCGGCCGTGCCAGCACCGCTGCATGAACACGTACGGGAGCTACCGCTGCTACTGCCTCAACGGCTACATGCTCGCCCACGACGGCAGCTGCACCAGTGAGTGCACCACGTCGCACCCTCCACCACGTCCCACCCCTCCACCACGTCCCACCCCTCCACCACGTCGCACCCTCCACCACGTCCCACCCCTCCACCACCGAGCAGGGGCCACGGCACGCATCAGGTGGTAGCAGAGCTGGGCTACTCGCTGATTTAAATTAGAAAATGAATGAGCAGATAATATGCCTCTCTAGTATATATGTCTGTTCTCCCACGAAAAAAAAATATAAAAGTATTTGTTACGCATTGCATATTGGGGGCATTCAAGACAAGCAAACGCTGGAGCCATCAGTAGTGATGCTTGCCGAGCGCAGGGACAGATGTATGAAGGAGACATCTCGTTTGCCTTTTTATTTTGTGACTTATATTCTCCACAACGACACGAATCGTTATTTTTTATTCTTTAAATAATTATAGATTCTTCTTCGATAGTTCTCTTCCGTCTTGGGTTCACCTCTCGCGTCATCGAATCTGTCTGGCCGGCAATGGAGGGAGGCCAAAAAAATATTAGGGGGGAGTAGGGAGGTAGGGGGGCCACCCAGGCGTGGCGTGACTGCAACGCCGCGTCTGCCGCGGGTGTCCCCTCTTACCCTCTTACGAACGTCGCCATCGGGATTGCCGCGCGGCTGCGCACGAGAGGGCGGGCGGCTGGAGCCCGCTGGACGTCCGCCTCGGTGCCAGCGATCTCGAGTGGCCGCTGCGGTCACCGTCCAGTGAGAGCAGGAATGCCCCTTTGCCGGACCGCCGCCCGTGACTTTGGCTCTCCGTGCGGCTTGTGCGGGCGCTACGGGCTCAGGGTTGTGAATGTTTTACCGCCGTGACGTCGTCGGTTCCCGTGTCCGAGTTATCGGGTCGCTGCGAGGTGGCCATTTTACGTTGCGGCTATCCGCAGCTTTTTGCGGTTTTTTCAGTCTCCTGCGTGGCTCTGGATCTGCGCCGGAGATCATGACGGCCAGCAGAGCCGTGTCCGGGAGCGGTGCGAGAAGTAGGATATTGTGACAAATTGTGATGCCGCAAATATGCACGTGCGCATCTCTGTCCGCAACCACGAAGCCTGTGTCACTCAGCGTATTTAATACATTTTATTAAAGTAACAATATAACTTTTAATATATGCAGGTCTAAGACTGACGAATAAATATTAGGGGGGATTGATGGCACAGTGGTGATTTATATCGGGACTCATCATGGGTGCTTCCCTTCTCTGGCCGGCACGGTGAAGTGTGGTCAATAAAACGCCATGACCGGGATGGCATGGGGAGGTCTTGATCCAGCAATGGATTGACAAATGGCTGTAAACTATGATTATTATTTATTCTGTGACACGATGTAATTTCCACTGCCAATGACCATAATTCCTCTGGCAAGATTACTCGAAATGCACCCCTGCTAGATGAACGGAGAGAGAGGCTTATTTATTAAGTTAGAATGGTGCAAAGTGTATTTATATACAACTTGGTCACAGCTCTCAAACAAGTGTCATTCAAAACAACAGAAAAGGTGATTGAATATCACTTAAGGGTTATTAGAATTTCAATGACCCTCACTGTCGCTGATTGTCAGTTGCTGCCGATCACTGGATTAATGTCTTCACGTCAAGTAGCTGGCCCAGTGGGGGATACATACACACACACACTCACCATCACTGTGATACATACACACACACATCACACTCACCATCACTGTGATACACACAGACATCACACTCACCATCGCTGTGACCGGTCACGCTCCCTAGCGCAGGTCACAGTCCATCGTCTCTTGCGTCGGCTTGTGCTTGTGAGCCACACTCGCTGTTGTTCTACTCAAAGCACTTGAACGTTGCAGAAGCACCGTGAGTTTGTTTTTGTTCTCGAGTTGTTTTTTTCCCCCATCTTTGTTTACAAGCCGAACGGACAAGTTGTCCCTTCAGAAAGTAAAATAAATATATATTACTGGAGCTATTATTGAGTACTAAATTTGGTAGATTGTGACTCGGTCATCATGATATTAACAGCACAAGCACTCTGGGTTTCTAACTAGTATTAGTGACTTTGTGCAATTAATCATGAATATTGACTCGTCCAGGTCCCTGGACAGGGGGGAGTGGTGGCACCGTGGTTAGCACACTGCACCCAGAGCGTGGCGACCTGAATTTGATTCCTGGAGACGGCAAACGTCAGTGGCGAGCAGTATCTGAACTGGCTCTGGGCTGCCCAACTTTACCAGCCCACACTGACCAGAGTGGCGAAGTATGGTCAAACAACCACCACGACAGGCGTGGCTTGGGAAGACATTCAGGCAGCAGTGGCTTGACAAAGGGCTGTAGATATTTGATTCTGAACGCCTTTGTTCACCTTGCATAGTGGCCGGGAGAGAACTTTAGCTCAATGTGCTGTGGCACATTTGTGTTGGTAAGGTCTCCGAATGCCATCGCTAGTAATACGCGCCGCACAAAATAACCTCGGAGCAGTATCACCTCACCGTGACCAACCCTCACTCCGATCTAAGCGGAAAATAGCTTTTCGCTCAGGGCTGAATGTTATCAATTATTGACCAGATGGCAATGTCCCACTTGCTGTTTGTTTCTTTCAGCCACAGCTAAATCACATTCACCTCAGGGCCAATTGCAACATTCCATTCGTTATGTATTCCCTTGGTTATGTATCCCCTTGGTTATGTATCCCCTTGCCAGTCTGCACCACTGGGACCATTCTCCTGTCAAGTCCAGGCTCAAGACTCTCCGCTTCTCCTCTGCCTCTGACTGCCCCTCTCTCTCTCTCTCTATGAAGCATCTTCATTCTCATCTTACCATGATGACGTCGTCCCAACTCAGCAGTATACCCTTCTCTGCCCGCTAAACGAAACACCGCTTGTTTTCTTCTTACTATCTCGATGTCCGTCTGCTATCGAGTACAACAAACGTGCGAATTGCCTAATGACCCATCGCCCGGGATGCTCTCGATCTTGTCAGATCTCAGAAGCGAAGCGGCGTTGAGCCTGGAGAGTGCTCGGCTGGGTGACCACCCTCGTGCATAAACAACACGGCGCGGTCGGCGTTGTGGGCAGTCAGGGTTCAGTGCGGGGAATTCTATCGTTCTGCACTCCCACCCCCACTCTCACCTATCCGCCGCACTGACCAGCGTGGTGAAAATATCCCTCGTGGACTGCAATGTCTTGGGAAGTCTTCACCCCACAGTGGATAGACAACAAGCGGGCTGGACATGACATGTGCGAATGTCTCTCTTGTCGCTGCTCACCGCAGAATAAACCTCCTCCCTCGTCGAGAGCCACCGGTTATTATTATTATTATAACGCGGCCTTGCCTTATTAGACCCGCTTGTTCGTTAAGAAGGCTCGTACGCTCTTCCGCCCAGGATATCCTTTATTAGTTCGCCGTATAATTTGAAAGAACACACACATTCAATCGCACGACATTGAAATAGCTGCCATACCAGAGAGCAAAGCATAACAGGACACACTTACACACACTTGTGTGTATATATATGTGTGTGACCACAAGGGAATGTGGCTCGGCTGAGAATAACTGCCACACTGGCGGTTCGTCCCTCATCCCCAAACTATTTTCTGTCTCGCCAGCTTGATTTACATGACAAGTGCTCCGCAATCTTTCACCCCCATTGTTATTGCAATATCAGCAGCGACGGGGTGGGGAGGTAAAACAATAATGAAAGCTAAATTTGTGTCATTCCAGCGTTCGTTTGATGTTACCGCTGTATTGGTTTAACCACGTTGACGCGTTGCATGAGGCTCTTGTCCACGCTGTGGACATTAAAGAACATCTGCGCCTCTGTTCCTTCTAGGTGTTATTTCTACCTTCTGTTTTACCCGAGGCCTCTCTTGCTCTCACCTGTGTACGTGCCCACTGAGCCACCCACCGAGTGGGTCCACGCTATCACCACGCACCACAGTGTTCAAAATATTGGGTTAATTATCGAAACAAATCATCACCCTTAATTGCAACAGTTCAATTAATCGTTGGGAATGGGATGAGGGTGGTAAATGATTCCATGCCAACTTACCAACCTACTCGCCCACTCACCTACTCGCGATCTCGCCGACCTGCTTAGCTACCCACTCACCAATCTACTCAATGCCTCACTTATCTACCCACCCATCTGCTCATTGACCCTCTTACGTACGTGAGACTTCAGCCAATATTTTCTTAGATTTAGTTTCACTTGGCGGTGAATAGTTTTGCTTCTAGCGGCTGTAGTGGTGATGTGGAGACATTGTTTACATCATCATCATCAGCCACAATAAATTCACTGCCCAGGTTGCGATGAAATAATTCACACGAGCTGAATTCATTGATCCATCTACGTAGATGTACAACATAGACACATTGAAACGCATCGACATTTACACTTGCGGTTCGATGCACGTACCGTGATCTTCATAACCGACAGTAACTAATGGGTCGATGCATCGTTGCACCCCCGGTTCGTACGTATGTGTGTAAGCTCATGACTCGAGCAGAATGTTTAAATATTTGACTATAAGTAGTGACGGAGCCATCGACGTCTATTAACAGGTATGACGCTTGGCAGAATTCCTCGCGGGCCATATTTCTTGTGCCTTAAACAGGGTCGCGTCTAATCGCCGTGGAAGGTGATAATTTAGGAAAGCCGTTAACGGTAAGCGAGAAGCGTGGATCGCGCCCCGCGTGATGCCGCGAGCACGCGGGGAGCGATCTCGACTGCGTCGCTTCAATCGAGCGTCGGAGCCTAGCTGGCGGCAGTCCAAAGCGCTCTGCGCTCACGCGACGCTCCCAGCCGGGGGAGTTGAAAACATCATGGGACCTCCTTTGCCAGTACTGAAATATAAGAATAAGTTTCTCCCCTTTTTTCTGGCAACAAAACTGAAACCTTTGACAAGGAATCATGTCTGCATTGACCACAATACTGGTGGTCAGAATGCAAAAAAAAATACTCTGATAATGTATGCATTGTTCTTGAAACTGATTGGTCCACACCAGAGACATCTTTCTTTGAGCCT